TTCCATTCTTCTGAAATTTAAGAGAGTTGAAAAGATTTAGATAAAGGGTAGTGGAAGGAAAACATGAAATGGTCCAACACTTTTGAAAACATGTACATAATGTCTGGCTTAGGGGTGGAATTAGGGCCCATTTGTGGGTACTGGGTTTGTACGATTGTGTACTGTATTAATATATTTCATTTTATTTTATTATCTTGGGTTACACGATGAAAGGTAACATTTTCCATTCCTTAACCCACCCCACCTACATACCATACAATTCAAACTCAGAACCTCTCACTTTCACTGAAAAGAATAGTTGCTTGGTTGGAACTTGGAAGGAAGTAAGGCACGGATAAGAATAGTTATTTTCACTATGAAGGCTTCTTCAAGCTTCTTTAATTCATCATTTGACAAACAAAAAACAAATTAAGAAAAAAAATTCATGGCAAATATTGGAAATTAAATGTTTATTGCATTTATTTGTAATTGCTACTATTTCATGGATCATCAATCCATCTCCTGTAAGTTTTGATAGAAAGTGCATAAATTAAAGATCATCAATCATACCTTTGAACTTTCTCCATTTCTTTTGTTGTAATCTTCTTTAAAGGCTTCATACTTGTCTATAATTCCGGGCTGGGTAACAAAGGCCTCAAATCTTTCACGTTCAAACTGCATTTACAATTAAAACAGAATAGATGAGGATTTTTTAGGAATATGATTCAAGTAAAAATCAATCATTCAGAACAATATAGATTCAATCATTAATATGAACCTTTTTTTTTTTTTTTGCCACAAATAAACTATTATATTATGGAGAAATAAACTCATCCATTATTACAGCATATATGCTGAAGTTTTGTCAGTCAACACATAATTAAGGAATACTATATAACTACTAAGGGTGGGATATGACACGTTTTAGCCAAACTAGCATCACAAAACGTGCCTTTCTCCAACGGACCAATAAATTCATAAAATAATAAAGTATTTATTTCCCTTATCAATTTCCATAATCTTCCCACAGAATTCCCATAAGAGTTACTAAGATTGATAGAGAAAAAACATCCAAAGTAATTCTCATGATTAAGCAGATAAGTAAGTTTATAATCGCCTCCTAATAGTCAATTGAATCAATTTAAGCATGCCATAAGTACTCTCAGTCCATTGAACTGGACATTAAAGCAATAACACAAAAATTTTATAAGAGAGAATTAAGGCTCAACTCAAATAAATTCTTCTCCACACATATTGGATATTAATTCTTATTCACTACCCTACAATACATATGAAAACAACAAGACATTAATTTATTTACCTTCTTATTTGCCCGACTTTTCTTACTATGTTCATTTCTCCTTCTCCTACTTTCTCCTTTGGGCAGTGGCGGACGGCCTGGTCCTCTTAGTTTTCCTGCTTCATCGGCTTCAGTCCTTTTCTGCTTTCCTCCCTTCGCCATTAATTCTTCCTTTTGACAGATACAATATAAGGAAATTATTAATTAGAGTTAGCTGATCTCATCAAACAAGTAATACTTAAGCAGATCCCCAAGCCTTCCTTAGCTGACAATAGAAAATTAAGTAAGATTTAATATTCAACCAAAAACTAACAAACAACACAGTAGAATAACTGAAAATTATAATTAGCTGATCTCATTAAACAATTAATACTTAAACAGATCCAAGCCTTCTTTGCTAATAATAGAAAAATAAAGGAAGATATATTCAAACAACCGATCAACCAACAAAACAAGACAGTAGAAAAATTGAAGAAATGAGAGGGAAAATTATCAAAACAACAAATTAAGCATGTATATATTCAACCCATGATGAAGATGAAAAGTTGGAGCACGAGAATTAAGCCTACCTGTCGGATAGGATGGATCGATCTGAAAATGGAAATTTGTTCATCTTGCCATGAATTTATATAGGGAGAGAAAAAAAAAAAAAAA